GGTTCCTTGGCATATAATTAAACACCGTACTGAGTATAACCACTGCTTCCTTGAGGCAGTGGAGATGTGCACATTTCCTGATAGCCTGAGAAGCAGAGAAAACGAGAGGCAGCTGGGGAAGGCATTATGCTGCTCTCCATTAAAATTCATAACTTTGAATGTAAATAGCACCTGAATGACCAGTCAAGTAGAAACATGCACAGATTATTAACTCCCCAAAATCTGTCTACCATCGCAAATGCCTTAAACTGTCAAGGTAAGAACCTGTTAGGTCCAGGCCTTGCTTGACTATAACAAAGTGCTGGTGGAGGAGTCCCACTGCCACGCGGGTGCAGCTGCCCTCCTGGCACGCCCTGTGCGACAGCGGGTCAGTAAGCTGAGTGCTGGGATCCCTGTGCCTCTGCCATGTTATGAATGCAACCTACAACAAAAAGAAACAACTTTGCAAAGTTTCAGTACCACGGAAAATAGTGTGTGAGCCATCAGCCCACGCTGCAGCGCAAGCGCTACTTTGCATGGATGCTCACTTGTCTGTCCTGCCACGTTGCCACCAGCCAGTGGCAGCGTTGACATCAGCAACCATTCTTTCTTCTCCCTGCTTTGTTAAAGTGAGATTGTGTTGGTTTCAGCAAGAGTGTCGTTCTTTCCTACCCGCATCCAGTAACGCCCTGTCCTACTGCCTCAGTTCTTACTACACAGCCACTGTAGCTGTATCTTCAGATCTTGTTCTAATTTGTGTGCAGATTTCATCAATGTTATCAAAGGATTTCTATCTGACTGGTGTATCGGGTCCCACACCTCCAGTACCCTGAAGCAATGACCAGGTGGGGAAGAATTGTTATGTTGATCTGGGGTCATATTTCTAGAAAATAGATAGCAAGGAAGGATGGAGGGGAATGGCTGGGTGGTTGGGGCAGGGATACATCAAGAAATGCACCAGAGAAACAAGCTCGCTGAGCTTACCAAAGGGCAGGACTTAGGGGTATTTTTTCCACTCTACTTTGGAGCAGCTGTAAATTGACTGTTCGGCTGGGTTTGATGTTTCTTTTCCCAACAGAGATGTAATTTGGAGCCAATGCTTCCTTGGATTTTCACTGTAGTGATGCATTATCCATAGCTGGGTATGAACACCTAGATTGCCAGTGTTACTGTGTTTCAGCAAGATTTCTACTGCTGCCAGTAAATCCCCCAAACTGGGCAGTTTATATGCGTGCAGCTGCATCTCTCTTCTAGCAGCTTCCATGGGCCTCATTCTTCTGACCACTACGCAAACACATGCTTAAATTACAACAGGCGCACCAGCAGCCAGCCCTCTCCCCACGCCCTCATGCTCCCTCTGGCACAGAGAAGTGATGCACAATAAACTACAGTCACCACCAACAGGAAGGCTCCTAACCTCTTCCTCTGAACATGGTTGATTTTCTAGATAATATGGCCTCTTTAAGAGAGCAAATACAAAATGGTATAGATATTTAGTATCAGGTGGTGGTGGTGTAACTAACTGGCCCCCATACCCACCTTGCACTGAGGAGCTGCCTCAATTTTTGCAGACTCCCAATGCACTAGAGCATAAACTTTTTTTTTTTTCTTTTTCTTTTGCAAATGTAGTGTTGACTCTGATATATGCATGTCTTCGGCTATTTTAAAATCTTATATCTACTGGTATTACAGCTTCCCCAGGGGCATGCAGTAATCAGGTACTATTTTTAAACTCTTCGGTCAACTATGGCTTCCTTTTTATCTGTCCACTCTGTAGCTGCCATAGGGAGTGAGTATGGCATTCCTCATCTTTTTGTGGTTTCTACTTATAAGGAATAGGCAGGACAAGTAGCGATTCTTGTTGGTGCTGGAGTACTACATAAGTTAGATTACAGGATGAAGTACAGATTGAATCATGTCTCAGAAATTCACCCTCCAGTGTCACATTGTACACGAGTTAATGCAAACCAGAACTAACAATACATGAGCACGAGTACAAAGCTCTCAGTTTGTTCCCAAAGCTCCCACAGCTTTTTCCATGCCAGCTATATATATATACAAAAAAAACCAAAACCAATAATACAACGCATTCCTATGTTTGTTTGCAGAACTGTATGTGAGCAATTTCTTCAGTCATTTAATTACAAGGCAGCTGAGGCCTGCACAAAGAAATACACTCAAGGTTTGCTTGGTTATTGAGGGCCGTCCTTTTCCTTTCCCCCAAAATAAAAAGGTCCCAGG